GCCTGTGCAAGAGCATAAAGAAGGATTTTATGTCCGCCATTTACAGCTTCTCTTTTGTAGATTTCCTATTCTTTCTATTCAATGAAATTTCCCTCTCGCTTTTTCCTTTTGTCGTCGATGGCCCAGATTCGAATAACATCGTTGGGAAAAGGGTATTCCCGCGAATAGCAACGAGAACGTACGCGAAATTATGCTGTCCCGATATTGGCTCGAGCGATGGTAAAAGGAAAAACATTGTAACGAGGGAAGAGAAATGAAAATTTCTCTATCAACCATGCAAAATCAATTTATCAAAGAGCCCTGTCATAAATAAACTTTAATTAATGGGCCACAGTCCGTAACGAGCAATTGAAAACGAATCCAGAAGATAAAACGAAATTACCTAGAATTAATTTACCTATATTAAAACGATTCCTCTATTTTCTTTGACGAAATGTCGAATCGTTACATGTATGTAGACCGACAAATAACCTTCCTTTGTTGGTCACCGCCTAATTCAATTTACGAACGGTCAAAGAGCTCGACCAACAAACTAGGAGAATGAAACGAAAACGAGGAAAAATTAATTTAAACTTGTCATCGAGGGCATTAAAAGACGCGCTCATATCGAAATTACGCTCTTTTTGTTTTATTTCTACTATTCGATTTGAAAGGATAAAAATCGTTTTTCAATCGATAAATCGTTGCGCAAAGTCTGAGAGCAGGTAGAATCCAATTATCGATATTTCGAGAGATCCGCTACCTCGAACTCGTTTCGGTGGTCGGTGGGTTTGGTCACCGCTTGATTATGGTTTACAGCGAGAGAGAACGGTGGCGAACGGTGAATATGACAGTAGCTCGCAGGAATGTTGCGTATCGATTTTGAAAATTATCATGCAAGCAAGCTCGCCCTGTAATAGGTTAATTACCGAATCCGAGCCCCTCGTTAACTCCGGTTAATGTAAATTATTTTCGATTTCGCTGACTTTGCAACCAACGCTCGTTTATAAATCGCATGCAAACTAATTACATATTCTTTGTTCCGACCGCTCGCCAATTACCACCCAGGATGCGACCCATCCTATTGTTACAGCTAATTTTGTAATTATTTGTCCAACGAACCGTGCAAATCATTCCGTTTCAATCGAATCTGTTCCAATATATTTTCGTTCTTCGGTTCTTTTTCGATATCCATCTGGAAACGATATTGCCATCTGTTAGAAAGTAAAGCAAACGTTTCATGCATACGAGTAAAGAAGGAATCTTATATCTCTCACAATTCTAAATGTTACTTACAATCGACAATAGATACCATCCAACGGTTCATCCAAAAATGATCATCGCCTTCCATATAGAAATAGATGTAACGTTCGACGAATTTTTTGCAAATTAATCCCATGATGAAAAATAATGTATTGTTGTACATTTCCAAAAATAAAAATGTATATGTTTTTCAAATATTTGAATTTACGGTTGTTTTACAACGTATCTTTTTGGGTATTTAAAAAACCATTTATATATAAAACGATTATAGATTGAAGATTTAAAGTACACGACAAGATATACGTAATATCGAGAAAATGTAATATATATTCTTTTATATTAAAGATCAAAACATATTATTAAAATTATAAAAAAGAAATGATAAAATGTGTCCAAGGAACAAAGAAAGAAAACATTTAGAGAAAGACAGATTTAAGGTAAAAATATGAAAATCAGTGCCATCTTTAGAGTGCAGCAAATGAAATTCATTTAAATAAAAGACAGAAAATGATAGAAGGAAGATAGACATAAGATAAGAATTGATTACCAACGATATCTCTTGAATGCCAAAGACATCTCTTAAATACGAGATAAAGTAGAGTAAGAAACGATCGCTAGTACCATCTTTCGAGTATTATTGAAAGAAGTTTTTATAACCATTTAAGAGATGGCAGTAATGATCAATCCTTATCTTATCTCTATCTTCATCCTACAGTTTTCTTTCCTTCACTTACGAGTTTCATTTGCGGCATACTGAAGATGGCGTTAATTTCCGAATTTTTATCCTATTTTTATCTTTCTTCCACTGCTCTGCACATTTTATACTCTCAAGAGATAGACTTATATTTGACTTCATTATTGTCTTCCTTGCTCGATGTAATGATAAAAATCTTAAACTTTATTCTTAACAAACAAATTTTTATCGTACGGAATATTTATATCATATACGAATATATACAATATAAATTTTTGTTCCATATATTGCAGAGCATGTATATATAATTTTATATATTATATAAATTTTCTATATATTATCAGAGAATCTATATATTTTTATATATTAATTAATTAAAGTATTTTATTATACGTTAAAGATAAAGATTTTTTTTAAAAAAATTGAACAAATTCACTTTGTAAAAATTTAATTTTGATTTAAATTCAGGTAAAAGAAAAAGCGGAAAGTACGAAAAAAGGATTTTGACTTTGCAATAAAACGCTGTATTCGCTTGCTCGTCAAATACTCTTTCGCATTCGTCTTTACGCATCCTTTTTCTTCCAATTCATCGCTATCGTATCGATGCAACACGTGTTTGCCAATCAGATTGCATTCACCAATAATCGGAATGAATAAAGTGCCATTTGACCTGTTTCCAAATAAAAGACGTCAATGAAACGTCAATGAAGTAATTTTACAACTTGTCTCGGGAGAGATCGTTCGTTATATCCAAGCGCGCATATAAAATTCGAAATTGACCATTCGTAAATATATACACGTATGTTTGATTCTATCGGTCGAACACTCCTTGATTTTTTATTTCTCTTATTTTCGCCGAAGTATCTAAAATCGCCCAGGAGGAAAAATCGAAACATCTTCCGAACGGAATAGATGGATTTTCGATTTATCGAGAGTCGTGAATTCTTCCTTATTCGAAAGTGAAGAGGCGTGACTACAGTTGCATGGAGTCGGCCGGATGAACGCGGCACGATATGACCAGTGATTTTTCATGTGATGAGCTTTCACGTTGATGGGAGTAAAGTTTATTCCGAGTGGGGAAACACGGCAAACACGATGAACCGAAAACGGATATTTGCTCGGCAAATAGCGCTTCTTGGAGGTGAGTTGCACGGTAGAATTTTTTGCCCGCCGAGAAACAAGGTTATGTAGGATGATTTTCACGAGACGCGATAACGAAGCGTTCTCGTAGATTAACACGCGTGACAAAATTCAATTTCATGGAAATCAAACATGAAAATGTTTGGGCATGTGTAAATTTCGTAATTCCGTGCTTATTTATCAATCGTATTGGCTATACCCGATCCGTTTACATCTCTCTATCGACGGATATTCTATGACGTGAAAATGTAGAACGCATCTCGCAACGACATTGGTGTTTCATTGGCCGCGAAGATGAAATAACGAAAATGTATCCGTGTTTCGCACATTTCGTGTTGGCAGCTTCTAGAGCATTACGCGCGAAAGGAAGATTGATCTAAAAAAAACTTTGCTACTGGTTAAAAGCGTGCTCTTTTTACGACTATAGTTTTTAGAACGCACCATAAAGCTAGAGGCAAATGATACCACCGTTTGATCATTCGTCCAAAGAACCAATCTCGAGAAACCTTAAACGCAACCTAGCTTTCTTTTTTCTTTTTTTTTTTTTTTTTTTTTTTTTTTTTTTTTTTTTTTTTTTATCAAGACTTTTCTCTACACGTGAACGCAACTAAAATGGAAAATGAAATTTCATTCGAAATACTCGTTACACGTTGTTTGATCCAAAATTTATATACGAGACAAGATATACACGAAAGAATCGATATCGAAACGGCTTTATAGCTCTATCATTATTCTAAACCATAAACGTTCTACAGGTACATTCTGAAAAACTGAAATGTTCGAACGTATTTTCTCCCATTATTTCCGTTTCGATTTCCAAGTAGGTCGAAATCGAAGATGTCGCTCGCAGTTCGAAAGAGACGAAGAGGGGAAAGAAGGAGCGAGAAGAAGTTCCAATTTTTTTCCTTCCATCCGGGGCTCGTGTGACCGGCATGCGAGATCGCGTAAAATTATTCTTCGCAACGCCGTCGAATATCCATATATTAATTTCTCATCGCCTATTTTATTCTTCCTCCGTGAAAGCATATTTTTGATGCTTGTACGACGCAATTAGTTCATTGTAGGAATTTACGAACGCGAAAAATCAGCTGTCTACAATGGATCTGGCAATGATGATTGGAAAGATCGTAGAGGAGGAATCGAAGAAGGATCGAGATGAGAGCGGCTGTTGGAAATTATTAAGAAGCGGGAAAGCCAGGCGTTATCTTTATCTTTTATCTCGCGACACGGCGGTATAACAAGGGCGGCGGGGGGTCGAGTGGAAAATTTCGCGAAAACTTGCTCGAGAGCTATCTCGCCTCGTTACCCCCGCGTTTCCGCCGCCCGCCAAGTTTACGAAAGCTCGCGGCCCCTTTCGTCCGCCACTTCGCTTCCGCGATATAATTTTCGTGGCCGTAAGAGAGCTCGCCTCTCCGCTCCCGCCGACAATTTTGTCGGATAAAGTGGTCGAGATAACCGGATACGACGGCCAAAAGACAACTCGTGGCGACATTCCGCAACGACTTTGTCTTTTTTTTCCCCCCCCCTCTCTTTCTTTTTCCTTTCATTCAACCCCCACAATCATCTTCTCGCGCGCTATTTTTGTTTTCCTCCCGACTTGTGGCAAGACAAAATTTCCAGTTCCAAGAATCGTTTTAATTACACGACCGACCATTATAACGGATTAGTCGTCGATAGAATCCGGTGAAGGTTCGATCTCGAGAGACGAGTGGCAATAATCGTTAAATTTCTACGTGTCGGTTTTCGAGAGATCCCGTATTCTTCCTCCAACAGCGTTCGAGAAACGTCAATAAAATTCGAACACATCCTCCATTAACTAACGAATTACTAACGATTAAATCATATCTCTGGTAAATGTATAGAATCGTTCTAAATCTGCTATTTTGTCGATCGTTCGATTTCGAGAAACGAATTCGAACACCGTTCCTCGCGGACTAATCGTTTCTTTCGAACTCGCCACGTTTCATTTTTCCCAGATATCCTGCCGGTGGTATTATATATTTACACTCGATATTACACTCTCGGTGAAACGAGCGAGGAAGGAGGAAGAGTCGCGACCGAATTCGAATTCGACCTAACTTTTCTCTTTTCGTTACGTGGTTCGTCAAGTTTCTCTACTTTTTTTTTTTTGTCCATAACTTGCCGAGAAACTCAGCGCGACGAATAACGACCCATTTTCGCCTACGTTCGCGCAAATTCTTGACTTGACCGAAACTTGTTTGTTTACATTCACTTTTTTATTCGTCGAAGGTGAAATAGAAGTCACGCGCGACCTATTCGGCGAAGGAAACGGGAAACAAAGGAACGATCGATGGTGTGTAATTAGTTGGGTAAAGTAATTAATTCTGTTGGCATGGTTGACGTCGAGAGTTGAGTTTTGCCTGCAAAACTGTTATAAATGCGAATCAAAAACTTGTTTTTTTTTTTTTTCGGACGTCACCGTCTTTCCAGGGAAAATTGCTTTCCCTGCTTTTTCCCCTCGTTTCCTGTTCCCCACCGACAGAGAGCAAGTCACGTTGTCGCTTCCTAAAATACGTTGGTACGCGCGGCGAATCGTTCCTTACTTCTTTGTTCCATCGATCGATGAGTTCGACGTTCGATATTTTGTTTCCAACTCGTGATAATTCTCGAGGTGAAAAAACTCGATGATAGATGATTCTCGTGCAGGTGAAAAATATGCGGGTTGTATCGACGCGCGAGTAATCGAATTTAAAAGTTTTAAACAATTTTTATCCGTTAATCTTTCGATACCATTTTTCCTCGTTACCTTCCTAATTCCAGTTTATGGAATTAGGAATTTCGAAAAGTTGCAGTTTCTCGTATGTTTTGATGGGGTTATACGCGGGTCGGAATAGGAGATAAGTTTTCGTTAACGACATCTAATCGAAAATAAGGCGGATAAAAACGTGGGGCAAAAGACAAGAGGGGACGGTTGAACGATCATTAATGCTTGTCACGTTTTCCGATTGAAATTTCTTCCCACAATCGATGGACCGAGCACGAGAGCATTCTTAATGCGCAAGATGTTTGGTCGATTAATCGAGGAAAAGATCGGGGAATATATTAGTAACGTACGAGGGGCCGCTTTCGATCGGTTATCGATGAAACCAACGAACGAATTTTCCATTCGAATACTATCGTTTCGAAAGGAGTGCATCAATAAAGAGACTGTTGGAAACTTATCCGGTGAAACACTAGCGATGAGACGATGTATATCTTTACATCGGAATATAGTGGATATCCAATAACGGAGAAAATTTAATAGTTGAATTATTTCGATAATTTATCGTTTAAAATAATAATAATCGCAAATAATAGCAAAAGATGGTCAAGATTATATGAAAAGTTACAAATAATAAATGTTATTTAAGCATTTTAATAAGTAATTAATCGAAGTGATTTTATTCGATCATTATTTTTAACTAGTTGCTTTTTCAATAGGTAATGACGATACTTAAGAAATCTTTGTCGTTTCGAGCTCTCTTAAGATCAAGTTTCCAGAACTGTATTCATGTTTGTTAAGTCTTTTATATAAGAAATTATTCGGAATTATTGTTCTCGAATTGAGGGAAATAGAAAGAAAAATGTTTGATGTTTCTATCATAGCCACGGAACAATATTGGACACGGATCGAGAGAACGGTAAATTGGTGGAAAACCGAGGGGGAACGAAATGGGGCATAAGAAAGGACGATCGAAGGCGGAAACGATAGAAGTGAAAATCGAACGGAGGTGCTCGAGTAAAGAGCACGGCGACTATCGTAAGCAATTACGAAGAGAGAAGTTGAACGGGAATTCCGGCGACGCGTTCTTTCCTCGAGAATTATTGTTGCGATCGGTGTTGCGTCGTTTGCAAATTGTAGCGAAATTAAATATCGTTACACACACGCGCGCGCGCGCACGTTGTACACCCGATCGATAAACGGTCAACCGCGGAGGACGAATATGTATACACGAGCAGAACGTAACCTATCGTTCAAAGTTTTCACCGAAGCGAGGATCCACAATTGGATCGAAGGCAACATCCAAAAAACTCTCTCTCGAGTATTAAATTTCTCGTAACATGGCGAATTCTATCTTCCTCCTTTTCTGCTTCCTTTGATTCACTTATCGCTCAATTTCATCACCATTCGACATTCACTGGTAAGAAAGACAGGTTTTCTAATTTCGTATTTACGTCCTTCAGATTCACGAACAATTGTAAATGATACATGTAGCATTTTGCGGATTGAATTTACGAATGACACTTCACGCCAGAGTATATAAGTACCTACTGTTCACTGGTGAAAAGAAGGACGCACAGGGGCAAGAGGGGTTCTTCGCTAGGACCGTTTATCCCCACTTTAGACACTTTGTTGACATCGTATACTGCACAGTAGAAAAAGAACTATAATTTAAATATTCAAAATCGAAAAATTATTTCCATTTATGAAGTTATATTAAGATAATCATCCAAGATTGAAAGCTTTATATCATCTTATTATTTTAACTATTCGAATACAAAATTACATTTATAAATTAAATTAATTTTACAAATCGCAATTAGCTTATATATTTTATGAGAAATAAAAAAATTTTTATATTATATCTGGATTAATGCATCGAGGTTTAAATACAGATCGTCATTTTAGACTAATAATATGTAACAAATGTCATAGTAGAAATGCATGTGAAAATAGGCGTTTCCTTCAGTATCTATCCACCAGTTCACTGGTGGAAAGAAGTCTCGCGAAACGGCACAGGGGCAAGAGGGGTCCTTCGTTAGGACCGCCTATCCCCACTTTTAAACGTTTTGTTGACAATCCTGACAATACATACACTGCATAGTAGTAGAAGAGCTATAATTTGAACATTCAAAATCGATAATCACCTAATGAAATATTTTCGAAACTATTAATTATTTTGATACGAATACGAAATTACATTTATAAATTATACTTGTTATAAATCATAATTAACACATTATAAGAAATAAAAAAATTTTTATATTATATCGATTTAGAATTCTCTGGATGCTTACGCTTAATGCATTTAGATACAAATCGTTTTGGATTAGTATATATATGTGACAAATGGTATGGTATAAAATGCGTTTTTTTCCTTAAAATTAACCAATCAGACCCGCGTTTCTTCCGCGAGATTTCTTTTCAGCAATGAACAGTATTTGGCATTTAGCTGGCATCTGCGTCTATGATGCGACGGAAACCTTTTCCCTATTCACGAAGCCGGAATCGGATTAACTCGAGGAACCAAGTACCGTAGCCGAACATTTCTCGTTTCAACGTTAATCGAGTATAAAAGTATATTACGACTGTATCGCGTTGGAACCACGAATTAATATCCGTCTGGTAGAATAAAAATTTTTCGGAGACTCGGAGCGAAGTAAGGAAATAAAAAAAAGAAAAAAGAAAAGAAAAATGGGAATAAAACTTTGAGGGAAAGCAAAAGGAAAGAATGAATTTGGCGAGAGATGGAGAAAGAAATATCGCGATCCTGATGTAAGAGGGGGGAGAAATTTTTATTAACGTCTAGCTGGGATGCAGTGCTGGCTTTTCGCCGAGTCGCAATGACGCGTTTTTTTTTTTTTGCCGTTGAAATTCGAACTCGGTCTCGGTTAGGGCACGGCTCCCTGTAATATACGTGCATATATCTGCCGCGTTATTCGCGAAACCTGAACGCCGAGGATGGTTACAGTTGTCCCGACAGCGACGGTCCACGGAGGAGTGAAGAAGCGGTTGATGAAGCGGGCTAGGAGAAGGATGAAGTTGGAGTAAAATCTTATCATCGATATCCACCGGGATTCCAAGTGCCAAGTAAACAGACTCGTATTTGAGATTTCCCATGCGGGGTTGACAGAGTGAGAGAGAACGAGTGGTGGAACGAGATGGAGGAAGACGTGGAAAAAAGAGGGGAAAAAGGAGAACGGGATAAGGAGGATAAGTGAAACGCGAAAGAGGAAGAGAGAAGCGGTTGGGCCGGGAGGAAGGAAGCGGAAAAAGGAGCGAGAGAGAAAGAGAATGTGTGTGTGTGTGTATGTGTGTCCGGATGTTCGTGGACACGATGAAAACGAATAAAGCGGACCCGGATGTCCCTTAAGAGATCTTCATCGAGAGAGCTTTTGTACGTAATACCGCGAGCTCGAAATTACGTTCTATCATCCCCCCTGTTCCTTCATATTTCTGAGATGCTAATAATACTACACGCTCGAGCGCTCTGCGAGTAAGAATCGGGCGTGTGCAATCGGATTCGAGTCGAGAAATTTGATTTTGAAATTGTACACCTTCGCATCGTTTTTTTCTTCTTTTTCTCTTTCGCAACGCGTTCTAACGCGTGCGTAACGAAGCGTTTTCGTTTCGAACGCGTGAAAACGAAGCTTGCGGTTCCGCCGCGTCGAGTAACGGACTGTAGTATGCAGTCTACTGTCCAGGGAATAGCCGAATATTTACCATTGTGTTTCGGTATTATTAATCGAAAATCCCCAACGGTTCCCATATTCCCGATGGATAATTCTTCGGTGAATACGAATATTTCGACCTTCTCGACGGCGGTCGAAACAAGCAGCCCTCGTTTCGACTCGAACAATGCGAGGGGCGGGGGGAGAGGGTAGAGGGGGAGGGACTAGCTTGATTTTTTTTTTTTTTTCCTTCGCGTAAAATTCTATTTCTATTTGCCTATCTGTGATTATTTGCGTGTGGATCGAAAATTTTTCGAAATTAGGCGAGAAGTTTGGCGTAAAACGTTGGCGACCGTTTGATCCCCGTCATTTGTTCATTTCGGCGCAACGTCAATATCAATCCGTTCTAAATTTTCATCCTCCAGTGACGGACACGTCACGTCCAAATTAAGGGTTAGACAGGGAAGAAGTTTCGTGGTGATAAATCTCACCGAAATTCGAGTTTCCGCTTCTGCTTCTTTTTTTGTGTTTTCTTCGTCCCTCCCCCACGTTTTTTTTTTTTCCTTTCCTTTCGCGTATTCGACATATCCAACGACGCTCGAATCGTCGGATCCGGTTGAACTTGGATCGTGCAACGAGGGAGGGGGAGGAGGGTCGAGTGAGGGACAAAGATCGAGAGGGGCAAAGGAAGAAGGAGAAACCGAGCCGCGTGCTTGTCACTTAGGAAATTGATTAACGATTAGCTGTGAACGAGAATCGCAAACATGCTGTCCGAAAGGATCAAATATGCCATGGAGCATTTGTCCCACAAACAGCACATCTCCCTGTTGGCACGGCCCAACTGGAGAAGAATCCAGAAGAAACACGTGCACATTTTGGTGAGTTCTAATAATCTCTGTCTCTCTCTCTTTTTCTCTCTCTCCTAACTTTTCTTGTTGTTATATATAAAACATTACATTCTTAATAGAAAAATATCTTAATAATTTATATAATTTATAGAGATAATTTTAAAAAATAAAAAACCACTTCTCTATATAGTTATGAATAAAACATTATATTCTTAATAGAAAAAAATCTTGATATTATATGATTTATAGAGATAATTTTAAAAAATAAAAAACCACTTCTCTATATAGTTATGAATAAAACATTATATTCTTAATAGAAAAAAATCTTGATATTATATGATTTATAGAGATAATTTTAAAAAATAAAAAATCACTTCTCTATATAGTTATGAATAAAATATTATATTCTTAATATAAAAAATCTTGATAATTTATATAATTTATAGAGATAATTTTAAAAAATAAAAAACCACTTCTCTATATAGTTATGAATAAAATATTATATTCTTAATATAAAAAATCTTGATAATTTATATAATTTATAAAGATAATTTTAAAAAATAAAAAATCACTTTTCTATAGTTATAAATAAAAGATTATATTTTTAATACAAAAAATCTTGATATTATATAATTTATTTTAAGCATTTAAGTGTTAGGGCACATAAAATTTTGAATTTTATAGAATTAATTAATTTAGTTAAATTATTAGTTAAATTATAGGATGGATTATTAATTAAATTATAACATTTAATTTGCGTTTAAAAGTTGATAACAATATTATATCTAAGAATATAAATTAATTTAATTTAATTTAATTCTTAAAGTAATATGTCTAATAAGAGAAATATTTTGATAAAATATTTACATATAATTTTTAATATTATTATATTAATATATTAATATATTAATATAATTAATATAACTATTAAATACAAATTATTATTATTAAATATAATATTAATTGTTAAATTAATTATTAAATATAATCATATTAATATATTAATATATTATTATAATTAATTGTTGTCGGTTTGATCACCAGCCGCGACCCTACAGCATCCGGCGATCAGCGTTGAAAGCACGAGCATCGAAAAGAATCAAAGTGATGGCCCAGCCGAAACACATTACGAAAAAATACGATCCAGCGTGAGTATTGGATAATGGAGCCTGTGACGCTCTTCCGATTCATTTTCGGCCCAACAACCGGCCTCACCCTCCTCTCCTCGTAGAAAAGCACCGCCAC